ACATATGCCCTCAAGGCCCCGAGTGCAGAGCAGGTTTTCATAGACTGGAAGCCACTGACTGACCACCTGTGTGTGTGTGTGTGTGTGTGTGTGTGTGTGTGCGCGCGCATTAATCCCAGTGCACACTACACCAAGGCTAAAGCGCCACAAACTCTGGACCTGCACATGTCCAAGTTTATAAATGGTTGTTTGATTAAAGGAAAGTTCATTTCTGAAGGCGGCTCAGTTTACAAAATCATTACAGGTCGACTGAGCCGCCCATGGAAATGTTTTTAAGTTAGCCAAACAAAGAAAATATATGCTGGAAACTATCAGAGTATCTGGTGTTGAGCAATTTTTTAAATAATTAATATTTGTTACTTTTTAAAAAAGTAAAAAGAGGTGGCTGACAGATTTGTTACCTCTTTTTCTTCTTCCTAGCGTTTGTCCCGTGTGGTTCGCTTTGCTACAAATCCGTCTCCATTTGGCACGATCGAGGCCGTGTTCTGGGGCGGCATTGAGGATCTTCATGTCTTCCTTTATTCCATCCATCCACCGTTTCGTCGGCCTGCCACGGGGTCGCTGACAACCGGGCTCAAGCCTCATTGCTGTTTTTGCCACTGAGCTGTCGTCGGAGCGTAATACGTGTCCGGACCACCGTAGCCCTACAGAATCAGGTGAGTGCAGGTTACCTGTTGCCCCCAGTGGCCCTCAACTTTATGTGCAGCGCCGTGATGCCGAGCTCTTTGCAGCGCTGAGCGACGTCCTGAGCCGCCAACATGGCAGCGTACGGAGAAGACTCGTCTCTGTCCGCCTTCACCTTCATCCCACCGGTCACACGGCAGATCGTTTCCCTGCAAACACACACACACACACCATTAGCACCAATTAGAGAGCAGCTTTTATTTTGGCGAGCAGACGGTCGGAGGGGACATACTTTCCGGAGAGGTCAGTGACGTGGACGAAGGTGTCGTTGAAGGAGGCGAAGATGTGGCAGACGCCGAAGACGTTCTCGCCCTCGGCCACCTGAGGACCCAGGCTGATCACCTGCTCCTCCTTC